GACGAGCGCCCTTACAGAACCTACTTGATTCGATTAGTCCGCACGATGTTCCGATGTTTCTGTCACGACAGTTCAAAACTCATTACGACCCCCTGTCATAAAAACAATAAGATCTCGCCGAGAGCCGGTAACAAAGCGTCTAGGAAAACAAATGTATTTGCTTCCCGTTGGAATTATCGGCATTTTGCTCTTCTCTGCGAAATTTCATTTATGAGAACGGCAATAACCCAGATAAGGCAGATAATGCTCTCTCGGGTATTGATCTTCTTTTTTATGGACAAGAGAGCGTTTTGTCATAAAATATTGTATCTGGCTCAGAGCTTTTCTTGATGTGCCCAAGCCGATATTTTTATTACTTGGGATGAAATAAATCAAATCCGAAATTATAGATTTTTTGGATTTCACTTTGAATTTCACGCACAGTAAATTCTGAAATATTTGGATGGGATTTATAGCCAACATCAATGCCACTTGATTTCATTGGATCAAATTCGAACAGTCCACTTTGATTAGGAAGTATAATTTCAATTTCATAACCAATATGTGTTCTTTCCCTCACTTCAAACTCCAAGAAATAGAGCTATTCCTGCTGAAACTGTTGTAACCAGCTGAATGTAATACTAGAGCTGTAATTTATTTTGAAGACCAACCCCAAGAAAGTCAGAAAACCAATAAATGTTGAGTCAATATGAATTATTATCGTTTTATTCATTATTATCATTTTCTTTTGAATATAATTTTTTGAAATTATTGGATCGAAAAGCCAATTCCTTCAACTGATCTTGTAACTACTGCCATGGTCAATGATCTTATCATCTTAATCCATAACGAAGAGACTACTGCAAAAAATATCGATGAAATTCTGAACCCTGTGAACTTTTTGAGATAATGAGCTACCTTATTATCCAAATAAAAACCCGACAAAACTTTTGTTTCCGAATTGAAACATTATGAACGGAGAGTCAAATTTTCAGAAATGGGTAACTTCTGTAAACGATAACGGTGATGACTCATTTCATTGTAGCTTGAATAATTCAATTCTTATAGTAAAAAAACATTATGATTTGGAATACATATTTTTGAAAACCTGTACCTACTCTCTAGGACAAACAAGTATGGATCATACTTAGAGATCTGTTTAAATCTGTTTAAAATCTGTTTTTCCGTTAATCAGATCTAATGAAAAACGAAGACAACAGTCTGCCGTTGACTGTTCTGATTATTGGAAATTTTATTTTGCATCTTTAGTTTCGATAAAAATGAAATGAAGGTCAAGGAAAAAGTTCAGCCACCTTTCAGCAGGGAAATTGGATTTGTTATATTATCTGTAATATAAGTGAATGATAGTCTTATCAGTTTTTTATCCAACACGGTGGAATTCTCATATATTCTGTCAATGAGACCATGAAGTTTACTCTGTTAAACCAAAAGGTTTAGCAACTCGATTAGCATATTTTTGAACAGACAATGGAATATTTATACCTGTCAAGTAATGTTTACCTTTCAATTACTTGAAATATTGTAAATAAACCAGTTTACACATAATGTTCCCACATCTACCAAGTCACACGTATGTCTTATAGCATTTATTATATCAAAAAAAGTTCCTGTGGTGAAAAAAAGGAATATAGAATGTCACTATGAAAATGACCCGAGATAAACCGAATGGTTTCTGAACACTTTAGATTGTGATGTAGCAATTAAAGCGTTGTGTATAATCCCTAAATCCCCCGTTTTAAAAGAGCTCCTGGTGAAAATTCATTACACTGAACACTGACAATAGGGAAATACTCCACACGTGTGCAACCTCATCTCTAAGCATTGGCACCCTCATTATATTGCTCATTCATCATTTTTATTTCGGTCGATATAAAATGTTATATCCGACGTTATATGGCCTTTGTGTGCACTGTCATTCCACTTCATGAAATTAAAATTTTTCCCTGCAGCACATTGTGACGAATAATAAGTACTAGACAAGTAGAGTTGAAGTTATTTGAAACACATTCAGATAAATAGATCGTGAAAAATAATAATTCTGTTTTCAAGCCCGTCGCCCTTCTCGGAAGTACATTCATGGACCAATTTTCTCATTTTTCCCACTGCAAAACTTCTCTTTCAAAGCAGAAATCCTCGAAGCAATATTTTTCCTACAAAGTTCTAAATAACTCACATATTTTCAATTACATCTTTTAAAGTATTCATAATTCTGCAGGAAACAGAAGAAAATGAAAAGTTTCAATCTGGTTTGGGATCCGCTGAATGTTTCTCGTATTTTACGGTCGCAATATATAAAATCTTCTGGGACGGTCTCTCGATATATTCAGATGCTATTGCTTGAATATGACAAGTTTATTTCCATATTAAAGATGGATAGATCTTTTTTGAAAGTTTACAACTTTGATAGCAGCTTCAACGTATTGTCTGTAAGATTCGAAGAAAATTATATATTTCCACAACAGTGCAATTCAGTGAGTAATAATATAATTTTTTGCAAAGTGTTGATTCGGATAAGAACAACATGTTTACAGTAAGTGAGATATTATCGATACAGGCAAATTTATTTTAAAAGTATTTTTCCAGAGTGAGAGACATTGTCTTTCAAAAAAGTATGTTATTATTCCAAAATCCTTTCAAAATATGGATTCTGCATTATAGTGGCGGATCAGGTTCTTTTTTATGTGAAGCATAAACATGAGATTTTTTCTGTTTGATTTTCAATTCAATTTTGTCTGCTGTAAGCAAACCCAGTGTATCCCAAAAATAAATTCTTGCTGTACCAACCTTTAGATCTTTTCCATTGATTACCTATTTCTGTAAGACGAAACCAAAAAGAAGAGGTTAAAAGTAGCATGTCAAAAAGCAGTATCAGTTCTTATTTGAGTGACAAAAATGAAATTGAATGGGATTTGTTATTTGCAATGCTCTAACAAGACGACCAATATCTATATTATCAATTATCCAAGTTTTTATCCCAAGTACTATAGAAAAATTGATATTTTTCAGGTATATGAACTATGTAGAAAAACACAATAGGTACTTATTTGTCAGAACCTTAATAAATCGATAGAAATCCAGGTTGAGGTTATATAAGATTTTCTCCAGATTTTCCTCAACATTTCTTATTTCTACTTTTTCCGATTGCTCATATACTCTTCTTACACAAATACTCCCACTCCCTTTAGACTTTCAAGATCAAATCTGTTGAATCTGAATTCCTTTCAAAGAAGTAATTTTCAAGCGAACTGGAAATATTTTTTGCGTTAACTAAACTACGGATTGATCGTGATTAATGTATTTGAATGAGAGAGACAAACTCCTACTAAAAATATCTAATATCGTGACTGACTGAAATTCTGTAGTTGAAACGAGAATAATCGGTGTAATGCACGAAATATTCCAAATTAGTCTCCGAGAATACATTCGGTTCTCGATTATCGGAAAACATCAAAATTTCATTTCGGAAAACTTTTAGAGCAATGACCGTATACAAGTTACTAACTGGTAATTCCTCGTGACTGTTAAAATGCGTCAAGGTATAGCAAAACATGAACATCAATCATTTCTTCGGAAGACATGTGAGAAACGAAGCAATAGGGATAGGATTTTAACGCACCCCCAGTAATGGAAAATATGGTCAAGCATCATTAATCAAACTTATGAAAGAAATATTATTATTGTCATTAGATGTATGTTTCGCATTTATTAGTATTTAATGAAAACACTTTAGTCACTTTCTGTCTCAGTTTCAGAATGCATGTTCTATTTTATCAAATTCAATTGGAAATAATGAATTCAAATGTGATGCTAACGTTTGTCTTTCTCAATTACTCTTACGAAATGGTATATCAAATCAAGGTTATTTCTTATGAATCATTGAATAACAATTCTTATACTTGAATTTCAAATATCTCAACTGTATCGTTTGCATTCATTCATTAGTACATCTTTTAATGACTTGAAGATGGATCATCTGAAAATCAATGGGTTGAACGAAATTCAATTTAAAAGAGTTTGTTATGTATGTGGATCAAATCATGCATTATGTCCTTTGAAGTGTTTCAGAGATATACCGAATTGACAATTCAAATGTGAACATTAAAACCAGGAGAAGGTATCTAGCAATACTGGGAACTTTCGATATTCAGAATTCTTACAGTTACAATTTAGCTGCAAAACAGGGACTGAGACAAACATTGTATTTTCATTGTAAAATTATTACTTTGGCACGAATTTAAATGATGAATATGCTTCAAAAGTGAACATCCAAACTCGTGTACAATTACACAATGATTATTTCAATAAAAGAAGAACCAGCTAATATCACAAAAACAGATGGAAAAATTCAGTAATGAATGTTATCAAGTTGAAAATTCAAATAATCATTTTGCTACCATTCTTGACCCAATAATGATCAATGTGATTCAGATTCTGCTATAAATATTTAAGTAGTCGGTCTATAAAGTTGTACTTGTCGATAATTCCTAAGAGACCTTGCACCCTGTTGTGTTTTACAATGTTTAGCCTGAATATCAATTCGGCATTTCTCTGAAAATACTTTTTTATGTATTCTGAAAAAGATGCATTCTTTTGAAATACATAGTTTTCAGATGATCAGCGTTTCTGAAAACTAGAACATACATTCTTGTATGAAACTATTGTCCATCAGTATATTGTAATTGGAAGTAGAGTAAATGCAAAATATAAAAAATTTCAATTTATTCCTTGTTCCTTCTACTTTACTACCGCATTCGCCAAATTATTCAAATTATTTCAATGAGCTGAACGGTGGAACCTCCAATATTGAATGTATCATCTTCTACAAAATGGATGATATGAAATATTCAATTGATTGATACTTCCTATTTTTTGTCACATTATATTCTGTTTGCTGGGCCGGATTGAAGAAAAATTTTTCGATGAATCGCCGATGTACAAAAAGTTGCTTGTCTCTTTGGCAATCCCTCATCGAAAACATTAATCCATTTAAAATCACTCACCTATATAACAACAACACAAAAAATATCCAGTTAGGAAGAAGCAGTCAATGCATGAACGAACATAACAGTTACTCAGAAGCACAAAACACAAGTTTCACACGGCGTTTAAACTCACTGTCACAGTGTATCTGCCTTTCTTCACAACTCCAACAGTTGTCAGCCCAGAATCAGATCTTCATCAGACGACAGTCTTGGTGCCCTCTGAGAGTGATGGGACTTGTATTGTTATATACCACGTAACGGCCAACCGTACAGAGCGTGCGTCGCGCGCGTTTCACGACCAACTTGGATCTGAACTGAACTCGGTTCAACTGTTCTGTTCCACTCGCAGCTTGCCAGGATGCGTTGCAATCCCCACCACTCGATTCGGAGCTTGAATTATGTCCCTTACCTGTGTTCTGTGTTACTGGAATAGTATTCTTATTGGTTCAGAATAGAGGAGGACGAGCAACAATAGGTGAACAGGAAGTGAAAAAGAACTGTCGAATTCGGTTTGAACGTTATAATTATTTCGATTTCGGTGACAGATCTTTGTAAATAAACCAGGTGTAATGTGAGATGATGCTGTAACTTGAGTCTTTGTTGAATTGTTGATGGAAATTAGATAGATATCCCGTCGGGGTTCGGAGGAAGTTATGGTTGCGATTCGGCAGGATTTCGCAGTTGTGAAGACTGAATAGTGGTGATGGATTGATTTCATGGAATTATTTGATATTTCCATTCATGTAGGAAGATTCAGTCCGGATGTGACTGTTTTATGTTTTGACAAGAATCAAAGAAGACAGGAAATGGAGATTTCCTGAAATGCTTTGATTGAGTATAATTATTTCAAAATGAATCCACTCATAAAAAATCATATCATTACAAGCCACACGGTTATTGAAAAAAGTAACTAAACATATTTAACTGAAATATATTTTCAACAAAATAGAGCGATGAAAGAAATAGACATTCGATTAAGGAATTTACAAAAAATAAATGAGTAAATGAAAAATGGGTATATTTCAAAGATTTTATGGAAGATAAATCTCCCCAAAATTCTTTCGAAATAGTTAATCAGCTGATGCTCCCCTAAAAGCTAAAGGTTAATTCTAGTTTTCTTTTTTGAAAGGGAAAATATACTGTCCTTTTCCATGTATTTATATTATTTCGATTATTATACTCTAAACACATGCATTATGAACCATTTCATGTGGAGCTTTTTAAAATTATTCAACAACACAAATTCTAGTCTTGTATTTTCTTACATATTATTCCACAACTCCACTAGAATATTAATGTCGAATATAAATAATCATCAATTAATTGAAGGTAGCAGATATCCACAATATTTCAATTAACGAGAATAATGGTAGTTTTGTATTTATTTGTTTCATTTTTTGAACACAAATCTACATTTGCGAAATATTTGTCTGTAATGATGGATAGCGCCTCATTGCTTATGGATATGATCATCCATTACGCCTCATAAAGATCATCACTTGAGACATTTAGAGGTTTGACAACAATTTTAAGTGGAAAATGAGAAATGGAAACGAAGGAATTTTTATTTCATGCTAAGCAAGTCATGAAATTCAGCAAGCGATGAACTGTAATATCTCAGCGAACACATTTTCATCTAATTTTCCTGTAGTGCTTGTATTTTGCCATTGAAAAAATCAAAACTAGCACCATTTGACACAGCACTCTTTCGCAAACGTAATACAAGTCGATTGATTCCGTCAGCATAAAAATTGGGTGTTCAGAATTCGATGAAATCAACGAAAGTTGTTTTTCCCGGGTCCTGATCGGCGAAGGTTCTGCCGGTGAAAAAGTTATCGAAGTGCTTGAAAAGATGATAGTCGGTTGGTGAGAAGTTTGAAAGTATGCTGGGTGAGGCAGAACTTCGACGCTCAATTCTGACCTCTTCTGTTGACCAGTGCCGGCTGCTGCTGACGTAATTTTCAGTACATTTCGTCGATTTTTTCAGGATGGGATGGTTTGATGGTTTTGCCCGGTTGCAGAAAGTTGAAGTGAATAACACCAGCCGCTAACCACCATACGGCAACCATATTTTTTGGTCAGTTTTTGCTTTTTTGGAAGTGCCTGGGTGGCTCAACGGTGTCCAACTATTGGCCTGTTCTCGTAGAGTATCCACTTTTCATCACAGGTGGCGATCAGATTTAAAAAAGGATCGTTTTGGTTGTGCAAAAGCAAAAAAGAATAGACCTCGAAACGTGACAATTTTCTTTCGATCATCTATTGAGCACCCACTTTTGGAGCATAGTTACCTTTCCAATACGTTTTAAATTATCTAAAACGGCATGAGAGCTGACGCCCAGTTCTTCCGCTTTGCCATGCATCGTTTGTGGCTCAGTCTCTCTAACAAGGATCCTCTAATCTTGGGAACAAAATTTCGCAAATCATCCTTGAACAGTGCGTTCAGTACCACCATCAGTATCAAATACCTTGTAGGGCTTTTCCTACATCTATTCAGTTTAGATAATTTTTATTTTGTATCATAAATTTTTATTACAAAATTCACTTTTCATAACATGGCGCAAGTGTTCAAAATATCTATCTACTTGGGTTTTTATGTTGATTCTTTCATTTTTATTTTCACTTATCATTTTCGTATTTTTTTCATGGCATATCATTGAAATGCTCTCTTTAAAAAACAGGTGAATATTTAGAACGAAACCATTTCGGATGTTTCGAGTAGGTACTAATCGTTAACATTCTTATCCAGTTAGACAAATAATTCGGGCACAAGTGGTTGACCCTTCTCGACTATATTTATGACCCCGACAATATTGTCAGTGATGATTATTCGAAAGTGACTTCGAACATTTTTTCTTAGCCGATGCATCTATTCTGTTCTGAGATTTCGGCCGGGAACTAATCCTAATTCTGACTCTCCTCGTCACGAGGTTACACTGTTATTTTTCTGTTTGTCGTGTGGTAGGTATCTAATATATAAAAATGGATGTTTGTTCGTTGGTTGGTTGGTTGGTTGGTTGGTAAGTGATAAACTTCTACATCGCTCAACCGATCGTGATTAAACTTGACATGTATAAGTAATTTTTCATAGAGAAGGTTTTTAGGCTATCAACTTTTCTCTAAGTCGCCACTAGATGGCGCTGTAGAACAATTTTTTTAAAACACTGTTCTATAACGCTGCGCACGCCTCAGTTCGTTGATTCTGAGTCTGTCAAAACATTGGAACAGCAGCGCACGCCTTAGTTCGTTGATTCTGAGTCTGTCAAAACATTGGAACAGCAGCGATACAGCAACATAGTACTAGTTATTAATAAATTGTATTATTTGTAAACGCTGTGTCCGACTGATTAATAATTCACCTATCACCAGTCCCGACAACCTGGTTAATTTTTTGGTCTGTTCTGGCAGTGCATCAGTTCAATTTGATTTCGTTGAGAAAAATTGGCCGGAAATCGCTTGACGACTTCATATGGCAATAAACCATATGAAAGAGGAAAAAACTTAGAATTTGGAAAAAATGAACATCATCCATGTATAGAGTACAAAATTCTCTATCGATCAGCATATACCACGACACAGTAGAATATATATTTATTGAGACATGGAGCTAAAAAACACATGACTTGAAAACGGACAAAACTTTTGAAACAACTTAATATATCGGGAGGCTAAAATAACGAGCATATGACAAATTTTTACTCTCACTTTGATTTTACACCAAAGTAGCAATCTGACAGAAACTTGAACCACGCATGCATACCACGCATGCACACAATTATCCGGCGAAGCTATAAGGTATACATGGTGTCATTCTCTGCTATTTTAAATTTCTCAACTTTCAAATCTAGAAATTAAAATTTGATATAATCAACTTCCATAGTAGAAATTCATCAGTTAATTGATTAGATAAATCATATATGTTCACTAGCGACCGCCCCGGCTCCACTAAATTTACATATAAACGCGTGCGATAGCTGCTAATAAAGTACTAAAATATCTTTATGAATAAATCATTTTTTTTTCGAGGATAGGAAATTAATATTGTGGTTTATCCCTGAAAGATAGACATATACCATCGCGAATGTTTTCATAGACTTTTGTGCAATACTGTAGTACACTTTTTATCCATTTCGTAGGGCTCAGACAGCCTTATGTAAGCGCAAGAAAATGTGTTTATTCACGACATCAATACATGTTCTTTTATAAATACTACATATACTACATCATATATTTAAATTTAATTGTTAAAAAAACAATAACAATATTATAACTATATTAATTGTTAAATACTTTCACAAAAATGTCAACTCTCCTATTTCCGCCTTTTTTTGTGTCAAAGTAAAATGAAATAGGTGAAACATGATTCTTTTTTTGAAGGAAAAAAATGCATTTTATACAAACGTCTTGTTAAAACCTATTGGGAAAAGGGTAAACCTCAATCAAACACAAAATAATCACTATTTTGACATCTGCTTTCTCAAAACCAACAGAAGACGTGTTTAATAAAGAAATTCTACACCATTCACTGAAATAATAATAGTATTAGTTATCCACCCCACCCCCTTGCCACCCTTTCTGGTGTGAATTTCCCAATCCCAATATTTTAGTTCCAAAGACACATCACGTGCATGTTCTTTTGTTGTCCGGGAGTAAACAAACCCTGCCTGAAGACAATTCTCATAATAGACTGGAGGGTAGAAGTAAAAGGTGCAAATCTTTTCATGTCATATCGAATTCTTCATTTGACATGAGTGGAAGGATGTTGGGAACTGTTTCTTATAGTTGAATCACTAGAAAATCGACAGTTATTCAGTCGAGTCCAATTTAGTAACAATTTGTATCAGGAATTTAAGTCCCTTTGTCCAATTATGAATTCAGAAAATATTTTTATACGTTTATTTGAAACACAACTTATACTTATTGAAAATATTTTTTTTTTCTTAAATTTCTTAAGGACTTTCAATTTATTTGTACTTGATAAAAGAAGGACCTGCAAATGTGATGAATAAAATTACCAACGCCTAGTTTTTCATCAAAGTACATTCACAATTCGATATGAGATTCATTGAAGATTTCAAATTTACACGTTGCAGTGAAAGCACTTAAATTGACAAACCTACTATTCAGAATGCAGTACAGTTTTATTCATACTTGGAAACGTAACATAAAGACATTGTTACACTTAATTCTGGAAACTGAAATCACCTCAAAGAAACACTCGAAACATGTACAAACTATTAAATGAAAAAAGTTGTAGGTACCATCATATCCATACCAATTAAACACATTTTCTTTCAGGAAATCACCATAA